TGTGTGCGTGTGGCATATAAATCTCAATCTCTGTCTGTTTTAGTTTGGGCCGAAAATTCAATTTGCAACATGTAATTTGCTCGAAATAATATGCCGGAATGATGAATTTAATATATAAAGAGGATTTTATGTACACTGTGAATGCAGCAACACACAGTTGACAGTATATGCAAAATACGCCACACTGAGGAAACCGAGAGACAAAAAGGGAAAGAGAGACAGAGGGACAGAGGGACAGAGGAACAGAGGGACAGAGAGATCCGATATGGCACATGTGAATGCAGGAAATAGGTTAAAGTCATTTTGAGGAGTTGCTTTCAATCGATTTTCGTTCATCCTCTATCTCTCTCTCTCTCTCTTTCTCCCCACAAATCGGTTTTCCATTAAATTTTCTGCAGTTTTTTCTTGCTCGAATGTATTCGGAGCTGCAAGCGCGATGTTACCTTGAGGACACTATATTTGTGTCTGTGTGTGTGAGCTTCAGACACACAAATGAATGGCACCACTGCTTATTTAAATAATTCTTCACTTCATTTGGTGTATGTGTGTGTGTGTGTGTCTAAATCTTTTAGGTTTCTGGGTTATGAACCTCAATTTGTACCAATTTCATCATCATATCGTGCACACAAACACAGTATTCATGCATGCATACATGTGTGTATGTACTAACTGGACACGTTATTTCAATGTTTTTCATAACGTGTGTCCAACAATGGAAATGATCAGGAATGTAAAACACCAACAAACGAACAATCCAATACCGAATTCACGGTGAATATGTTTTCGAAATGGCGGATTCGTTGCTTGAATTCGGTTCGGTGTTTGTTTCGTGACCATTTCAGCGATTGCTTTATATGGATGGGTTTGGTTGAGTTGGTTGAAACTCAATTCTCATTCAAACAATTAGTAATAAATATGTATAGAATTGTTTTTGCTTTGGTTAAGTGATCAAAATTGCGGAAATCTGATTTTCATTGCATTAGAACCGATCGAAGTAACAAAAATGCTTATGCTTCATTACAATATCATATACATCGAGTACAATTTCGATATATCGACTTATGATGTTTAATATACATTCCATTTTTTTTCTTTGTGTTTTCAATTTAAAGCTGGAAATGCGATAACGTGATGAAAGAATTTATGTGAATAAAAAAAAAACCATCGAATAGAAGCCCATATTTATAAATGGCATAAGCGACTGAGAAAGAGAAAAAAAAAGTGCTGGCATAATTAATTGAAATACATACGAATGAAATTGTGTCACAAAACAGAAATAATGGCGCTTGCGCAAAGATGCATTACACGCGAAATACACAAATTCTGTGGGTTATGCACACACTGAGAGTATGTTGGTCGTGCTACACGGCAAATAGACAGCCAGCAATAGTCTATCAATGATTTCAGTCTCTCTATCCCTCTCTCTGTATAGCTGACACACACAACAGCTTATTTTTTGTCTCTCTATTCTTTTCGATTCTGGTTGCCGTTCAATTTAGCAAACCAAATGGAATGGGCCACAGTGGCAACAAATATGAAACAAACGAAAAAAAAATTCAACAAAATATGGACGGTTGAAAACTTGAAAGACATATATAGCCTATTACTTCGGCAATCGTTTTTTCTTTTCTTTGTTGACTGTCGGCACACAACCACCATTTTTATGAGACAATGTGTGTGCAGACGACGACGACGACGATGACGACAAAGTTGATGGATTCTGAGAAATGAATTGTTGTTGTTGAATGGCGTTTTTGCCAAATCAAAGTAGGTATATATATACATATATGCGGCCAAGTGCACCGACACTGGCCAATCGATTCGGTTTCGCATTTTATTCTAATTAAATCACACGAAAAATTGTTTGTGTGTATCGTTCGATTCAAAATCGCTCGTGTAGAGCGGCCACGAAAGAGAGCGAGCGTGGCGAGAAAGAGGTGGTAGGGACAGAGGATGGATTGTGGACTCGTTTTTTTTTTTTTGAGTTTATGGGGTTGGTTTTGACATCGAATCAAGCGCGCGCGAAGCAATGTTAGCATGTTCGTGCTTAACATGTTCGTGCTTAACATGCTCGTGAAATACTATGTACATGTATCTTCAGATGCTGGAAAATAGGTCGTCGAATTACGATGTGGTGCTTTTTTGCTGGCAGCTTGTTGCAAAGGACGTCGAATGCCCTCTTTTTATATGGCGTCAACGATTTTTCTCTCTTCCTCTCTCTCTCTCTCTCTCTCTCTCTCTCTCTCTCTCTCGGTGGACTTTTTTTTTGTTGTCTTCGTTGCTTCTCGTATTTGCTCTCGGTATAATGATGGAAGAAAGCGAGCAAGAGACACACGTACACATGCAAAAACGTTGCTCTACTTCCTATTACATTCACTTCTTTGATTGTTTAAATTAGTCCAATCGAAAAGAAATGTGTCAATGAAAACATGGGCGGAACCCGTATACAACACCGAGTGCATATATTAACCGTTTATTTTTTTTTCGGATGATACAATCCATTGTTGGGAGGTAGTCATCGTGATAAGGTTACGGCATTTAGCAGTAAATTGATTATGTATTTTGGTTTGCTATTATTGGGTTTATTGTACAAACAATTAACAAATGTACGATATGAGCTATCAATGAATGAAGAAATAAATTTGATAATGCTTAACTAATGACCTGGTCAAATCAAGCGATTTTAAAAAACAAAACAATGAACGAAACCACATTCATTATGAATTGCACATTGATGCGCGGATTTTGCAGTGCAAAATAACCCAAAAATAAAACAATCAATGGAGATATGAGAAAGAATAGAACTCAGAACAAGAAGAAGAAGAAGAGGCAGCAACAACAGCAAGAAAAAAAAACATACACACAAAGAGTTGTTTCATTAATTTGATCGGCTATTTCCGTCGCCGTCAGTAACATTTTTTGTTCCCTCATGTCTTGTGGTTCAATTCAATTCACGAATTTTCTATGAGCAATATACAGAGAGACGAAAATGTTAATCACAGTGCAGCGCACAAGGAGGCTGACATATGGGCAACCGATTTAATTCACATATATACATATGATAATACAAAAAAGCGATGTTTCAAAGCCGCATGTGCATTTCTTCATATATATTCATTTTAATACAGCGAAACCGATCATGTTCCAAACAGAAATTGAAGCGAAAAGGAAATGGGAATGAAGAACGTATAGTTTACGGGCGAGGGGGAAGTGTGTGTGTGTGTGTTTTTGTATGAGCGGTGTCGGTTCGGTTCTCGGTTTTTATTGTATTGGACACGAGCGAACAATATTCGTTCAGGTTTTTTTCATGTTAAATTGATACAACACACACACACACAATAACACAGCAATACCAATGAAACGCGAAAAGCAACGTCTCTCAATGCGACTTGGTATGCTTTACATCGCCCGTGAATATTGGACGCATAGAACACACTCATGTGTTTGTCTGCAATGAAGCGAACGGAGTGTATGAAAACTCATACAGACATAAATTAACCGAATATCACAATTGAATCATTCCGAAGCGATATATGTGACGCATACGAACACACATACAAACACAACCGAACACGGAGATAGAGAGGGACGTGTATACACACATAAACACACACTCGCCTCAAACACACTGATTCACCGAAATGGTATTCTTTTCCGAAAAATTTCTATTCTTTTCGAGAATTACAAAATTTCCAATAATTTGTAATAGCTCAAATATTCCCCCAATCGTGATTTGATGTGATGCATTTGATTTGTTATAGCATTGGAATAGAGAGTCAGAAAAAAGAAATATCCGCCTTTATCATGATTCCTTTTGCGTTTCGAGATGCTCTCATCTCTTTTGCGTGCGGACAAAGAACTTCTGTCGGAATAAAAACATGTTTCATCGTTTTAACTGTTTTTTCTCTCTCTCTCTCTCTCGGTCGCTTACTCGATCGGTCGGTCGGCCGGTTGGTCGGTATAGTTTCGCCATTTGTGATTTCCACTTTGTTCCTTGTACGCCGTGTGAATAGATAATTCTATACACTTATGCATACGACGTGTCTGCATTGTGTGTTTTTATTCTTCACATTGCCGAACGTGAACAGAGATTCCAAGCATCATATTGACGGCTTTATAATACATAATTTTTTCTTCTTCTTCTTCTTCTTCTTCCTTCTCTAGCTCTCTCTCTCTCTCTCTCTCTCTCTCTCTCTCTCTCGCTCTCGCTTCAATTTATATAAAATGTTGTATAGTCGATTTGGTTTATGTCGGGAATTGAAACCCAATGGCGAAATGTGTGACTTGGAATTTCGAACAATACCTAATGAATCGTTTAATCATATTCCAACGGAATTCAAAAATGAAAAACTTATGCGTATATAATTATATTATCACTGGCCGCTTTTCTTTTTAATCGGTCGACTAAGTTTTTTTTCTTTCCTCTACTTCATGTGTAGAGTTGAGAGAGAGAGAGAGAGAGGAAGAAAAAAAGAAAGAAAGAGAAATAAAACAACCGATTTACTTGCTTCAATGCCTCGATAAAATGTGTGTGCGGAACTATTTCGCATATTTTATGCAATTATACGTGTTTTTTTTTCGTAGTTTGGAATCGATTAAAAGTTTCACTGAAATTGCTCCCTTCAACTTATTCGCAATATTCAACACATTCACATTTCTTCTTTTTTTCACTTGGCGGTAATTCTTTAATTGAAACTAAATTCGAACGCAAAAAAAACAATGACGACGACGTTGAAGCGACAGCAAAAAAAACGCATTCGCGAAAAACGAAAAGAAAACGGAACGGATTTATAAAACAAAAATGATTGCTCGGAAATTGTATGTATTGAGAGACATTGGTTGACAATATCAAGTTCATCAACACCCATCCATTAAATCCGATTTTGTCATTTGGTCCGACGATGGTGATGATGATCGGGTGGGAAAAGCCCAAAATGTATACGGTTTTCGACAGATGAAATGTAGAATTTTTTTTGTTAAAAAAAATATATTTAACAAACCTGTTCAAATTGTCTCAGTGTGTGTATGTGTGTGTGTGTGTGTGTGATTTTTTTTCTTTTAATTGTAACGTGAAACTGTTCACTTCAATGGAAATTTCTCGATGGCAATGAATTTCTGGTGTATGTATATCAATGTCGCAAAACAAAACGTAGCTCAAAATGCATATATATCCATTATTCTAGATTTGTATAGTTTCGCTTCGAAATAGTTTCGTTCGCCTTTTTGGATAATAGATAATAATAAATGACACAAGAATTTTTTTGAGCAATAAAAAGAAAATTCGTACGTCGATACTTTTAACTAGAAAAAAAAATCACGATAAGGAAATAATTTTTTTTTTTCCCGTGTGGAATCTATGTCTTGCTGCTATTTTGCTCTCTACTTCTTTCTCTATATATATTCTTCCTCGTTTTTAAAATAAAATTTATGGGCTGATTTGGACGCGTTTTGTCAAAATGGAAACAACAATACTTTATCGATTTTCAACAAATTCGTAAAATCAATTTTCATCAACTTCAAATCGCTTTTTTTTCTTTGCAGTTTTACTTAAAAATTACCAAAAAAATTTCTTACAAAAATAAGCAGTATGAACGAATTTCAGAAAAAATTTCTTTGCTTTTTGTATATATTGAACGCACTACTTACAGGCCGCGATGCTTTTGTTTCAGAAAGACTTTCTATATTAAAAACTCTCACTTATACGTCGGATGTGTTTGCTGCTGGTACAAATGGTTGAACAATGAACAATGAATGACACACCACCATCGAGTGTTACACGATGCAAGATATCCGGTGCAAATTATCATTGATCCAACGATAGTTTAATGGGGGCGACAATGTACAATGCACATTGCATTCACGTTGATTTTGTTCGCCGAATTCATTTAATGGATCAGTAATTTTAAAATTAAATTTTAAATTAAAAACAAATACAGAAAAAAATGTGTATTTGCTTCGATGTGATAAAAAAAAAAGAAGTATTTCACGAGCTTGTTTGCGGTTTCAAACCGATGGCGATAAACGCAGCTAGTGACATCTAGTATTATTTGTATAAAAATCGGAATGTAGTAGGTGAATCAGCCTTAAGTGTCAAATGAGAACACACATCAAATCATAGTCAAACTTAAATTTTTCGAATAATTTCTTGATAAAATCCCAAAAAAAACTGCATTCAAAAGCATTAATTCAAATAAGCAATGAATCGATTCGAATATTCTCAGGCGATTTTGCGTGATGACGAGACATTTGTGGCCAAACACAAGAGTATAAAACTGTATCATGGCCATCAAAAGGTATGTGATTGTATTGTGTACAAATTTCCCGACTATTGATATTAAAAAAAAAACCAACCCACAAACATCTTTTACTTGCAGACAAATTTTGAAGACGGTGAAATTGTTATAACCACCCATCGTTTGTTATGGGGACGAAATGGTGAAATTGCACGTGGCATGGTTGTGCTGAGTCTGCATTTAAAGCATGTGATATCGCTGGATGAAGAAGTGGCCAGTTCATTTGTGTTTGGTCGCAAAAAGCGAATCATAGTCACATTAAAAGAGCCAACCCCAGACAAAACACCGGGACCGATGGACGATAGCACTGGCGAGATATTTATCAAATTATCCGGCCGAAATGGTATCGAAGAATCATTTATGCAATCTCTAAACGAAACTGTAGCGGCCCGTATTTGGGAGACATCCGATGCGGCCCAATCCACTAACGATAAAAGTGAAAATGCACCGCCACCAAGGATTAAATTGCGATCGGGTATCGTTGGTATCGAACGTAATTTACAGGAGCGTCAAAAGCAAACCGACGAAAACATTACATTGGCCTTCAAAGATCTAAGCAAATTAATGACAATGGCTAAGGATATGGTGGCCATTTCAAAAGTGATCAGTTCGAAAATTCGCGAACGACATGGTGATATATCCGAAGATGAAACGGTGCGATTTAAATCATATCTAATGGGTTTGGGTATCGATGATCCGGTTACAAGAGACAGTGCAGCCAGCAACTTAGAATACTTTCAATTACTAGCAAATCAAATCTGTGAAATGCTTCTTGATCCAATCACCGAAGCCGGCGGTATGATGTCACTGGCCGATGTTTATTGTCGTGTAAATCGTGCCCGTGGCTTGGAGCTACTTTCTCCAGAGGATCTACTAAACGCGTGTCAAATGCTAAATGGCCCCATCAAATTGAGAAAATTTCCCAGCGGCGCAATGGTTTTGCAACTCGAAACACATAGCGACGAAACAGTTTCCGAAGAAACACTCGAAGCGGTAAGCCTTCTTAATAACAATTCAATTTGGTTTTGTTATGAAATTATCATTCAGCCTTCCTACGAAATACTTGATGTTCAAACACTTGAATTTGTATTATCGAAATGTTCTTTTCTTCTTCAATTAGGTGGAAAAATCGAAATCGTTGAGTGTCGAGGAATTGGCCCAATTGCTGAGCATTTCGCTATTGTTAGCACAAGAACGACTTCTAACGACCGAACGTGCTGGTAAAATTTGCCGTGATGATTCGATCGAAGGTCTACGTTTTTATCCAAATTTATTCTTAAATCCGATTGAATGATAGAAAAATGCAATCGCCATAGCATTTAGCGTCTAAGTGTTTTATTTTTCCAATTTAAAACTTTTTTTCCCATGTAAATAAACGAAAACCCCATTTTAATCGCATTTCATGGTAATTCAATTTCATAGAAACAATCGTTCAAAATTGGATAATCAGTCAATTTCATGTCGCTGTTCTCCGAAGCTCCGTATTTTCTTTCCTCTTTTTTTGCATATCATTATGTATATTTCGCTATATAAACGTATGATTTGGTGTTGGGTTTGTTTATGGCGATAAAAATGTGACGTTTGACGGCTCTAGAAATGTCAAAACACTTACGCTCTATATACCTATCGGCATGTGTACGCATACGTTGATACTTTCGGAGACGGTATTTGGTTGTGTGTATGTATTTGTGTGTATGCGTGTTTGCATGTCAATGCTACCATTGTCTGATTCTTGCGTATAGACTCTCTCTGTTTCGCGCTTCTATACAAAAAAAATTCTAGTATTAGGCGAAAGGTTGACGAGACCGCGTGAAATTTCGTGTATCGCAAGCGTTACGAGTAACTGGCGCTCATTCTCCTGTATATACATTTTTCTTCTTTTCTCACACATTGTGCATTTGCAATTGGGGCAAATATAATTGCATTTCGATTGAATGCCATGTAAAATACATTACCGTACACACATTCTCTTATACATTTTGGATAAAAATTTGTTTGCATCGCTAGAAAAATTCGGTACATGAACATTTGCAATTGTTTTGTGTGCCAAATGCTTGAAAAAAAAAATATTCAAACAATCGTAACTGTCAAAAAAAAAAAACTTTCCATCAGATGACTTCAGCGGTGCTGTGCGGCTTGATGCGATAGTATTCGTTTTGATTTTTGTTTGTTTTTATATACCCAAAATAACGAAATTCGTTTGAGAAAAACCAAAAAAAAGACACACACTGCGGAGGTAAAAGACAGAAAAATAAATAAATAAAATAAAGTGTATTCATATGACGAGATCTGTGTGTGATCGTTTAGCCGACGAATGAAATGAGAAAAAGAATCGAATCGTGTTTTTTTTTATTTGTTCAACAGCTCTAAAGACTAGTTTCATATTTTTTTCTCTTGCTTTTATGTTCCGTGTTAGCGCGAAGTAAATTACCCGAAGAGACTATAATTTCAAATTAACTGTGTTAACCTATAATAGTTATATAAAATTTTTGTTACTTTTCGATATACATGCACTGTTATATACAAACGCGTGAGACTGCGACGCAACATTGTGGACACATATACATAAAAATCGCAAGAAAAAAAAACCACAACAACAACAACAGCTGAATCGCTTCTGAATAATTGATGATCACAACACATGCATGCACACAAGCAAACAACGTGTACGCAAAGCGATAATAATTTCAAAAATCAACGGAAAACTTTTATTGATTCCAACGGAATTTCAACCGAACTTTGATTTTCCGTGACTTTCGCTTTATTTCGAAATAATTTGCGAGCACAACTCAAACTCAATCGACTGATTAATTGCGAAAATTAATTTGAAGCGATTTGATTTTTCGTTCGTAGTGAAAAAAAAAATTGACTGAAAACGAAAACACTGTACAGGGAACACTTTAAGTGTTGAAACACGGTTTGAATAAGATAGATAGCAACAGATATAGATAGGAAAAAAGAAATTCGAATAAGAAATCATCACGTTGAAAAGAATGGATTTTGAAACATCGTGCTGGACAACGGGTCCGTTAACCAACGGTGGCCAATCATGCTACAATTACGATAATCCGGTGCAACGGCGACCAAAAATCGACTATTTTGATAGCGCATCAATAACACCGATTGTTTCGCATATATCGTCGAACGGATACTATGGATATTGTCCAACACCAAACGTACCTGCCCACACCGAAATTCACGGCAACAATGACGACATCCAGAACAATGCCATCAATATCGATTACGATGTGACTAATGCAGCTATGGCGATGGAATCGACTAATTCGGAGCATTCGATGCAGCAGCATCAGCAGCTACAACAACCCCATCAAGGTCGCACACAGTTCGAAAATCGAAAACGGTCCGTTCGATTTGTCGCCGATGAGTTTGCCGCCGAACGAGACGCTAAACGACGACGAAGTCATTTGTCAGTCATTGATTATGTCGAAGGTTCGTAGCAATATATATACACGCACACTTCACTTATACCTGCAACCGATTGGCAATTTGTGTTTTTTTTCTGTGAGTGCATCTTAAATTGCACAAACATTGCCAACACTGTTGCATGCTCACGCTTTTTTACCTATTTTTCCTTTACTATTTTCATTTATACCTATATTCACTGAATGCTTAATATAAATTGGCATTTCTTATGACCTAATTTAAAACGATTTTCGCTTATTTTAACTTTTATTCTCTCGTTTGTTTGTTTTGTTTCATGTGTGCGCGTGCACGCGATGGTTCTGGTTTCGATGACAACAACATTTCTTGGCTGCGATCATGATTTGGAACATGCATGAATAGATATGCAAATGGGCTACGAAGATGACACGATCGTTCCATCGAATATCGGTAATTCAAGTTCATTCAACAATATCAACAGCGTCGTTAATACCACGATTAATGCAAACAAATCAAATGGTCATATTAAATCGACCATGATGATGTCTCACATGATATAGAAATATGTTGAAGAGTGTATATTTTGCGATAGATTAAGATTGTAGCTAAAAAAAATTATTCTTTTTTTTCTGTAGTCATTTTGGCAAACACACATAGATTTTAAGTCAATCAATTTATCTACACTGTCAACAAATTTACTAAATGTAAACTATTATTTCTTTGCGGTGGTTTTGAATAAAAAAAAAAAATTAGAGTTAAACCAGAAAAAAAAGTTGCATTAGAATATTCTAAACCCGATTAAGTTAACCGTACGAAAGCAAGATACGTAAATAAAAAGAAAATTCTATTTAGCACATAATTTCAGTTGAATCAAGCGCATGTTTTTAGTTAGATATAGTGAGAAGCTCGTTTGTTGTTGTCACGACCATCTATCTCTCTCTCTCTCTCTCTCTCTCTCTCTCTCTCTCTCTCTCTGTCTGCATTTCAATGTGAAACGAGTTATCCACGTACCAAAACTATGTATGCATATCCATGAGACACACATCCAAATGAAAGAAAAAAAAACTTAAAAACCATTTTTATTCATTCATTCACAGCATCCAAAAAATTACCCTTTGAACCATACTTCGTTTGCATTAACACCGAAACTAATACGGTTCCAATCGATCAATTTGTACGGACACAACCGCATACAGCACACCAAATCAACTACATTGAATCGAAAGCAAGGTTAATCCATGATGATTCGATGCATGCTATCAAGAAGACTGACGAGGACAATTCAACAAAAGAGTGTATCACAAATGATATGGAAAACTTGTACTGGCATACACATGGCTCAATGCTATGGCAACGCTGAACTTTTCGCCACACATTTGTTACCAATATCTTCTCTCTCTTTTTTCTTGTCAATTGAGAGAGTAGTTTTTGACAATTTTCTTTTATAAATTTATATATATGTAACAACTAAAACAAAAAACAAAAAAAAACGATGTATTAGTACATATTTTGTACTTATTTAGGTTTAATATTCGAAATAATGCTCTTTTTCGGATGTGAATAGAATCAAAAAATACAGACCAATTTGTTAATTCTTTATCAGAAAACCAAGGGCATTTTTCGTTTATTTATTTGTTTTGATCAAATATTGCTTGGCAAAATATTTCAAATGAGTCTTCGGAAGACTGGGTAAAGTATTCTACAAATTAGTTTTACTCTAGTTGAGTACTTAGGTCAACTTTACCAAATTGACACCAATAGATCATAAATGAAAGGACTAAACGAACAGTCAGCTCCTGACAATTGTTCGGTTAAGTTGGGAAAATTGAAATATTTCAGTTCAAACAAGGATCGTCATCCACTTTGGTGCCAAATCAGTTTTGAATTTTGTGAGCAACCGCATAGTATTTCTTGTGTTTAGTAGGTGAATTGTATCTAAATTTATCACAATTTTTGAACCATTTTTCGTTTTCACGGTGAGTTTCGGATGCTTAACCTATAGTTAGCACAGAAGTGTACGTATTAACTTTGTATCCGAACACAGACGCTAGCAAAGGACAAAGTCCGTGCAAGAGGCTACCTGATTTTTGGTCGCTGCGTACGCTTGCGTTTTAACTATAAGCTATGTATTCAAAATGAATTTTTTTTCTCTTAAAACGAAGCGTAATATTGTTCTTCTGTTGATAAAATCTTACTCTATATTGAAAATCATGTGAGTTTTGAATTATAATTTTGGAATTATAGTTGATCACAATGGTAGGCGAAAACACAAATGGAAAGCGACAAGGTACAGAAACGAATCATCAAACCAAACGCATCAAAGCCGATGAATCTGCTGAAGAATTCAAACAAATGACGATCACCGATCTACTTCCAGAGTGCCTCGAACATGCATTTACATTTTTAGATTTCATCGATCTTCTAAACGTTGCAGATGTAAATGAGTCCTTTCGAAAAGCTGCATTTGTGCCGTTCAATCGGAAATACGCAAGGAAATTAATTGAATATGATGATCAAACGTTTTCTTTACGGGTGAAAAACGAATATCCGCAAGTATTGATTCGCTTTGAAGAATCTAAAATCGTTTTCAACGATTTAAAAATATTTCTGCAGACATTACGTTGCTTTGGTCACTTAGTAGCTCAGCTGATACTATGCTTTAACAACTACATTTTAAATTATGTGCGTCAGTATTGCGCTAAGTTTCTTCGCAAGATTATAATGCCAAGTAGTTTAGCAATAAATATTTTACAATATTTCCAAGAACCCTTTCCGAATGTTGAAGAGATTGATTTCCAAAGTGGTGCGGATATAGCATTTGTTGATTTTTTTCCAAAACTTCGGCGCTTGGATTTTCGTGGCGCTGGAATGTTAAACAAAATTGCAACAACCACATTTCCAAATTTGGAACATTTTCATTTGGCATGATTTATGAAGATAGACTCCACGTCCACACTATCAAATCGGATTTGGTTCGAGTTTTACAAAATAACCCGCCATTACGAAGCTTTTCAGTCAAATCTGGTGAACTAGATATTCTACTGTTTGTGAGCGGATGTTTACAGTCTATTGAACATCTTGATGTTGATCAGAATCCGGAAACTGCAGATAAGTTCGACGAACATGGTGCGATATATTTCCGAAATGTCTCAGAATTTAAGTGGAATATCTGCAATTATGGATTAAAACCTTTGTCAAGAATTCCTTTTAAATTTCAACATCTCAGAGAATTCACTCTAACCACTGACGTTCAGTACAGTGCAGCCTTTTCCGATTTTATCAAAGAGAATCAGTCAATAGAAAAATTAACGTTCAGAAACAAGTTTATGAACTTTATCAAGAGAGATGTAGACGTTTTGAAAGTATTACCATTATTGAGAGAAATTGTGTTTATTTCACAGACTTTTATGAGCGTTTATTTTGTAATCGAGTATTTGATGAATTTTGAATTAGTGAACCGTTGTAGTTTCTACTGTCGCCAGTCCAAGCAAACTATAAGAGAATGCTGTGGCACCGAGTGGAAGCCACATTTTCTTGAAGATCGACGGGGAAATTTTATCACATTGGAACGAGCTAAATGAAATCGCAATTGATTTCGACATATTTTATACATACAATAACAAAAAATGAAGAAAAAAGCATCAAGAATTTTTTTTAAAGAATAATTTACATGGAAGTAAAACAATTTCAATAGTTTTTTTTTTCAATCTCGATGAATAAATGAAATGTGTTCAGTTTTTTTTTTGAACATTTATTTTGCTTTTAAATATTTTACATAGAATAAATTTTGTTTATTTGTTATGTGACCACATACAATGGCTCATGAATAAATTTTGTGAGACACATTAAAATATTGCTGATATTTTGCTGTATTTTTTTATGCTGTTTAAAAAGTAGTTTAACTATTTGCTTGGGAAGAATAAATCTTTTCCTTCATTGTTACTCATGAATAACTAAATAAGGGTACTTTTCTGTTTATTCCTTCTTCTCTTCTTTTTTTGTATCTAGTTTGTGATATGGACAAAGAAATTAGATCAAAGATGCTGTTGAAAGGGGAATAACTGATGAATCCAACGCAATGTCAGTATGAAAATCGGATTAATAAATGTGTAATCTGTTTAAAAAAAAAAATATGTTTTCTAGCTGCGTAAAATTGTATCATTATGCATTTGTTTCTACATGTGACATACGAATTAGAGCCCAAATGTTTACTTTTCATCTCCTACGTATATTCAAACATTCCTAACATCCTCATGAAATTCCATTTTGAAGATGTTTACGCCTGAGTCGCTATAAATCGGTGTCAACAAAATCGACCTCACAATTTGAGCTGGTTGTTACTTTTGCTAAATCGGGCAACGGTGACGACTCAATGCCACCAACGGCACCTTCATTCGAATTTCCATTGTCTGGCATTAAATCGCCGCGTTCCGGTGCATTGAGTGCTTCGGGTGAATTGGCCGCATTTTCATTGTTGGTCGCATCATTTTCCATGCTTTGATCGGCTTCGGCCAAATCTTGATTGATACTCGATGACAGATGCGACACAAGGCAAACGGGTGTACGTGGACTGGTCGGATGCTGTACATTTCCATCCATTACAACAACATCGGCCAATGATATGGGCGTTGCGCTGGCAGTGTTTCCTTTTGATGTGCTCGTTGGTCCATCATGTTTCACCGTTAAATCCAAGAACGAACAATTATTCGTAGTCTCATTTTGTGTTGAATTCACGGTGATTGCCCGTAAAAGTGCCTCATCAATCGATGATCGCAGATCAGGTACACACTAGAAAGAAACCGAAACCAATGGGATTTCCGTCAAACTTTTTTTCTTGGGAAAAATATTAATGGGAAAAAAGTAACCAGAAAAATGTTAAAAAATGAAATAAATACCGTTGTTGCAACCGATATGTTATTCCCTCCTTCTCTCTCATTGAAATGTGGTCCACCAGAATGTTGTGCCATATCTTGATGATGCGGATTTTCCAAGTCATTCTGTTTTTGTTTTTTTTTTTCGAAAGAGAAATTATTTTAATATTTTTTTTTGCAGGAATTGAATTTTCGATTGAATTTAAAATTGAATAAAAAAAAATGTCTGATACAAACCTGTACATTTGACACGGATGCCTGCATATCAGGTAAGATGTTTGGAGATCCATTCGATTCACAATGTTGTGTATAAACTTCTTGGAAGGCTTGCATTAGCCGCGTGCGCAGTGGATCGGACGATGATATCAATTGAAGTTCACGGAATAAATTGATTAAGAAATGTGGCCTCGATTCGTTTGCCGCAATCAAAGCTGATACTTCCAAATAGACATTCTCCTTGAGATCGTCAAACAATTTCGACGATGACTTGGAATTTGTTCGTTGATTTGAAGTGCTAGCTAAATTCAAGTCTTGTGAACCATGTGCTAGTACACCGAATCCATTGCTTGCTGTCGATCCAAATTGATTGTCTCGTTCATTCAACGGTGCACTTATGTCACGCAATGGTCGCAACCGTTTGCTTCCACCCGTCGTCCCCTTTTGCAATGTTTTCGCCGACATTTTCGGTTGTTTTAACTCATTCACATCGAAATTGAAGGAATTTATTGACTTTTGATCATCAGAACACCTGCCAAAACGAAAATAAATGATTAAGTAAACTTGTGAAATTTCACACTTTATGTGAAAAGAAAATATCTCAATTTTTTCCTCTGATCTACTTAAACCGTACCTATTTTCATTATTTGTATGGCTATTGTTAGCCACGGAACTAAGTAAATTCGATTCGTTAGCAATACTGGGTGCTACCGAATTTGTACCGGCTACTTGTGTACCCATTGCCGTTCCCAGGACGCTAGCAACGGCAGCCGTTGGCACTGCCACTGATGAAACGGATGAGCCGGTGCTTATTTTCAAGTTATTATAATTGGTGTTGCTGGAGAAATTGTCCAGAATATCGTGATAGTATCGCTGTTGATTCACATTAAGTACATCGGGCGGTGTATTCTGATTGATAACATTCCGGAACTTATTGCCGACGGTGAGCGATGGCAAATTATTGTGTGTCATATGCACTTGCGCCTGTTCGATTTCATTGCTCTTGCAACTGGCGCTCGACAAAAGATTTTGTCGCGAATAACTGGAACAATCAAATTGATAATGTTAGAAATTGGGGCCAAAAAATCTATTGAAAAAAATCAAATCATTTAACAGCAGCGAACAGAAAAAGATCCATTAGTTTGTGAACATTGAATTCATCAGCGAGCCATTCACAACACGCGAAACTCAGAGATGACAATGAAAAAAAAAACAGTGCAGGCGGCGGTTAATTGCATTTTGGTTAGATTTTATCACGCGCATTTCCAAGCTCACACACGAACGATACACACATATCGAATACACTTACCGAACGGTATTGTTCGCGGCTTTTCAAAAACTTCGATTGTGGATTTATGGTCGATTTTGAAATTCATAAGTATCGATACGGACAAAGGGTTTTTTTATTGTCATTTTGATTTAGAAAAAAAAAAGTTCAAGTGAAATGGGATGCGAAGCTCATGATTGAAACGATACATATAAATATAAAACACACATTCGAGCCATGCATATCAATGCATACCTGACACATATTTTTTTTTTTTTTCATTTAATTAGTTTTGTGGTCGTGAAAAATGGGCTCAACTTCGGGTTTTTTTCTTTACGATTTGTTTACACCTCTATTGTCTAGACATTGATATATGCTTTTATATTGTGTTAATTGAAATGGGTGTGAGTGAGTGAGTGGGCGAGAGTGGGAATAAACAAAATGAATGAAAATGTTTACCTTCGGAAATTATCATAGTAATTGTTTGCACGAATGCCAGGCACAACTTGGTTATTCAAAGCAGTGACTGTGTTAGTTGCATTCACACTATTATTGGTTACTGGTGTTGCGGAATTGGAGGCATTGGTTAAATTTTGCTGATGCAAATTATTAATGGTCGCATTGTTCGGTGAACCGCCGCCGCCACTGCCACCGCCACTGCCACCGCCACCGCCACCGATATTGTCATTTGTGTGATTAGACAAATTATGAGCGTTTAGAAAGTTATTCGAGTATTGAATTTGATCGGATTCGTAGTATGGGACGGTGCAACCATTTCGACCATTCATCAACGGTTGTCGATGCATGCGCACACCCTGTTGATTGTTACGATAGTATTGGGCATTTTGCGCTGCATTCGGATATTGTCGAAATGGTGACGGTGGCAACGGTGATTGTTGTTGTTGTTGGATTGATGCACCGGACGTTGTTGGAAAGTTCGGGAAATTTTGTGGCTGCTCGGATTGAGCGCGTGGCAAAAATGGTGCTTGATTCGTGCACACAATATTCGGTGGCACTGACTCAGCCCGAATCATATTCTGCTGTTGCGCATCCACCAAATTCGTTGGCATATTCAATAGACGCTCTTGAATCTGAAAACGGATTTTAATTTCGATTAGAAATTATTTTTAACGGAAAATTGAATTTAAAATTGTTATTTCAATTCCAATCTTTTGACTGTTAAAAAAAATGAAGAAAAAAAAACAAATAAAAATTCAAAACAACAAAATCACTCACCAAAAGCACTGCGCTATTCAAATTATTGATTTCACGTTGTTGGTCCCATAGCAATTGATTGCATTGGCTGATCGAATTGATAAGCATCTGTTGGGTTTGAATGAACTGTTGCATGAGCATTGGATCATTCCCGCCGCTCTGACCTTGCATACACGAATGATGATGGTAGTGACAGTGCGGGCTTTGCGGTGGTGCTGAGTTACAGGTTTGATTGTAGTTATGCCAATACCATGGATAATTCTGTTCAGTTTGACTTTCATAGGCTCCGTTCGTTTGATTGTTGATATTCAACGATGAAATTCGTGGAATCTCTTGTGATGATTTGCGCCATGAAGCTGCCGAAGGATAGACGACTTTAGTTGTGGAATATGGAAGAGATGGGAGAACCGAGATTCTTTCTCTTTATTTTTGTTTTTATCATAGAAAATTCTTTGAAATAATTACCTTCTCTTCCGCTAATGTTGCGCATTGGCGGTGGAACTGAATAGCCTCTAGAACTGCATGATTGCAAACTTCCTGCTTCGATTGACATGTTTAACATATCAACCGCTCCCGCATCCGTCGAATCTTTATTACAATTATTTGGAATCGGTTTTTCCGATTGATTACAGCCGCCATGGCTTGAGCGCAACGATGGTGTGGACGATGCATTTTGTCGATTCGACCAATTGTTTGGCGAATAGAGTAATCCATCGGCTGATTGAAGCGGTTCCTTATTCACACGTTGCAATTCGTGTGGAATTCCTTTTTCAACATCATTTTTCTTCTGCAGGAAGTTTGAGTCAAGAATTTGCTCCTTTTGCACGGTCGAAGTGCTTGGCTGCGGATGAATGTGATGCGTTTGTTGTTGCTTCAAATTCTTTTCGGAAGAACCATCGAATTCTCGTCGTCTTGCCATTTCGTTTTTAATGTCTTTCAAGCGATCTCGTTCAGCGGCCAGTGTCACTGGAGTGAAGAAGAATAATTTTGGCTTTAAATTTCAGTTGAAAAAAGTTGCGCGGTAAATGATGCAGAATATTATGAATTCAACGCTACATACCTGCTTGTTCCCGTAAATCATTGGTCATACTGTGTAAAACGCGAACACGTTCGGCCATTTCTTGTTCTTCTTCATCGCGTTGTGGGTCATCGTTTGATTGAATGTTGTTTGGTTCGTCTTGTGATTGAATTACATCGTCATCGGGTTGAAAATCCCCATTTTTAATTTCAATCAATTTCACCGTATGCATCATGTCTTGCAATCGCTTCAATTGATCCTTCATCGCATTAATCTCCGAAATTTTATCTTGAAGCATTGAACCAGCTGCCGCGGCCGCAACCTCATCATCGTCATCCTCTTCGTCGGCATCGTTGAGTGATGCATTCGATGGCTGATCAATCGAATCGATTTTTCCATTTTGATCCAATTGATCCAATCGAACGCGTTCGTATGCTTCTTCATTCATATTTCGTGGTGGCGTTGCCGTCGAACGATTTCCATCGTCGAAATTATTTTCCGCTTGCACGTTCATCGCATGCAATTCACTAACCAAATTGGCCATTTGTTGTTTCTTATTTTTTAAATCGACCAATTTCTTCTGGAGCTGCGTTTGTTCCTCGATCAATTCGGATTTTTCGTCCAGACCCAACGAATTGGCCATATCATTTTGACTGTGTATGAAATCGGTGAGTGTTTTCATGCGTGACATCAACTGTGTCACATCCTGTGTGACATCTTCAACATTGTCGTAATCGGGCACGGCATTCTGATTGTTTGCAAATGTCAGTGGCTGTTGCTGACCACGCAATTGTTCCATTTCATACAATCGATTCTTTGCTGCCTGTTGAAGACGAAGCAATTGCTGTTGTTGCTCCTGAAATCGAACGAAAATGTTAGAGTCATGCGGTCATTGGGAATTAGGTAGAGCCAAAAAAAAACTGTTTGAAATTTCAACGACAAAATCGCCGATTGAAAATTGTGTTAACTAGTGTTCGCAAGTTTGATCGACACTCGACTAACAACCTAACTACCGAAACTGTTAACTCTTCCCTTACCTTGATATGGATAATGCTGCGATTTGATATTTCCAATTTGCTTTGCAGTTCCTCATAAGTCGGCGTATTTGGTCCGGTTGTGTGCACACTGGCTACGGACTGTGGACGAGGTCCATTTGCCTGCTATATTTAAAAAAAAAAGTAAGGATTTCAAAAATTTACGAATCATTCAAATCTTTCAATGGCCTAAAAATACTCAAGCTTTACACACATCGTTCATGAGGCTCGGTACACTTTCCAAACTGTTCGAATTGATGACATTGCCATCTTGATCGGCAATGAGTGTTTCGTTTGACAAATTGTCGGAATTGCTCACAGGATGCGCGATAACCATCTTTTTGATTTTCGTTTTCTTCTTTTTGAACACAGTTTTTCTTATTCCTTTTCTTTCTAACTCAATCTTTGGAAGAAAATAAACTGAAACTACCAAAAAATTTGACGTAAAAAAAAACAATTGGCGCTGTTGCAATTGATAACAATTGAATATGAATGAAAATGAAACACAGTGTTTGCGGTACGTATTTTGAGAAAAGTGATCGCGAGAGTGAGAATAAAGCGAACGAATTTGGACAACACGGAGGCTGAGAATGTGCGTATTATGGTTGATGATGTTTGTTTTTGTAATTCGGAACGTGTCGAAAATTATTCACCGTTTTATAAATATACGCAAGCACATACACACACACGAGTGATGCATACAACGGCACCGCCGTCACTGTTGTACCGCTTTGCCCAACTGTACAGAACGTGAACTATCTATTGCCCAATGGGAAAATCAAATGAAACCTAATTTGAAGTTGATTGAAAGGTGCAACCTAATCCAGTTCCAATGGAATCATTTTTATTGAATTTCGAAACAAAAATCAATAGAATAGTTGTGTTGTCTTGACTGTAATATTAGCGGAAAAATCTGTTCGATACATAGTATCAGTTGCAAATCTATTTCTTTCGCAAGTGAGTATTGGGTACGTCTGAACTCGATATATTTCGTACATCACATTCTATTTTCATGACGGACGCGTCTATTTTTATCGGGGAAAATATTTTTTTTTTTCACTTCACTTCGAACTGATCTCGACGCTCTGAGCTCATAACCATTAAAACTCTCCACACCACCGTACAAAATGCGTCACAGTTTTTACACTCAAAGTGAAAATAAAACCATGAACCAAGAAGAAAAAACGGAACATCAAAAAGTCACATTTTAGAACAACGTCATTGCGAGCGAAAAATATGAATCAGTTCTGAAAATGAATGAACGAGCGCGGAAAAAAAGAGAAAAAATGCGATGTTAGTCTCGTACCTTCTCAACGTTGATCGAGTCGATGAGTGACGTCGTGATCCGAATGTAGTCTTGAATTTGTGAGATACGTTCTTCCATTTGCAGGGATTTATCGTTGTTGTTGTTGCTACTGCTGCCGCCGCCGCCGCCGGTATTGTTGAATGTTGTGGTTGGGTTTCTTGGCGGTTGCAGTGTTCCATCTGGGACACGCATCGACAGCAACTGTTGATTATGATGTAATAGCTGTTCATTCAATTGATTCTGTTGTTGATGTAGTGTGGAATTTGGTGTGGTCGGAATGACAACACCAATAGCTGCATTTGTTGAGGACAGAGCCGATGGGTTCCCTGTGTTGTGTGCCTCACTGGCCACAGCATCTTGTAAGTAGCTGCGCCGTGGTATTGGCCGTACAGGCCAACAAGATCGCGTATTCTCAGGCAATGAAAAATTATCTACAAAAAACAAAAAAAATCATACACATAATTCGTGTAAGGCAAGCAAAAAAAGTGCTCTGTGACTCAGATTAATGGATTTTTATTTACCTAGTTCAAAGCAAGTACCTTCTCCGGGCGTTCGATTGTTATTGTCACGTTTGGACGCTCGTTGCACCGACGCAAAGAAATCCTTGAATGGAGTGCAAATCAATGTTAAAAAACAAACGATAAAAATACCGATTTGATTGAAACACCGCAACAATGGTGCAACAACGCATTTGAAACGCCGACCAAACGTGGTGTCACCACAATTTTGGTCGGTTGCTGGGGCCTGCATCTCAATTAAGCTTCAACATGCAGATTAAAAAAAAATTCTCATGACTTAGCCACATTCATGCCGGCATATAAAAAAAAAAACAAAGAAAAACTTTCTTTATCAAAAATCGTAATTTGATCGAAGCAGAAATCGCCATGCGTCAACCGATAGCTATTTTTAAGCATCGTCACCTGCTTCGGATGGCTTCGTCAAAGAAAATAGCAATTTGCACGAGCTCTAAATGATACACAGATTGAAAATTATTGGCATGCTTACATTTAAATGCTGCTGAAGATCACGTCGAGTTGGAGCGACAATTTCTTGTGGTACGGAATTCTTGCGAGATGCCTTTGCCTTTGGCACTGTGCCCGTTTGACGTTTATTTGCTCCAGGTGACATTGCAAATTTATCACTTTTTCTGTATTTGTTCCGTGGACACGATAAAATTGCAACAAATTCAAAACTATTTGCACACGTTTGTCTTCACTATGGCGGCGATTCTAAATGTATTTATACGAATTAAACTGGGTAAAAACAACATTGGCATTTATTGATATGCACTTGTGATACATGTAGCTGCAAAGGCGACGGCACGAAATTCATTCACTCTGTGTTGTATCAATAACAGAAACATAAACACAGACGGGAACAATATTTTTTTTCGCTTTCTTCTTTTGTTGTTTATAAAATATTTATCGCTGTTCGTTTCTCTCTTTCCCTCTGTGTCGTCAAGTGCTAATATTGTTTACTGTTCATCATTTTTGACATTTGCCAATAGACATGCACCGAACCAAACACATAAAACAATGTTCAACGCGAAAAAAATTTCAATTGGTTCAAAAATGCGATACACGACAAAATCACCATTTGCTGCATTAGTACGGTCGTACAATGCGGAACACTGAAATGTAAACTAGCAAATGCAGCTGAAAAATTAGCTCCTGTTGATTTTTTTTTTTTGTTGTTTGACATTAGCAGCAAAGGAAAAAAACACTTTGTTTTGTTATGCATTTGCCGCTTGACTCTCCGTATGCTGGAGAACTAAATGTTTCACAGTAATTCTAATAGATGGCGTTAGATGAAACCTACATTTAGTTTTCTTTCGAATGAAATGTTGCTGATATTCGATCACACTAAATATTGAAGACTGAAATGTTGTGATTGCGATTCAAAGCGACGCTCATTTGGTTTCGAAGAAATGCACCGTTGTTGATGTGCTGTTGTCCGTGCACACGCAAACATAAACACACACACATACACCGTGCGCGACCGAAGACAAAGCAAAAGGGTTAATATAGCTTGAAATACGTGACGAAGAAAGCACCGTTAATTCGATGTAAAATTTGTTTGCGACACGTGCTGAACGCATCATTTGAATATCTGACAGCGAACTAAACAGAAGGAAAAGAAAAACGCAGACTGTAGCCCAAACACAGTAGTTGATACGAATTGATTGTGAATAATAGCAACAATTTTATTGCAAATTCGTGTGCGAAAAACAAAATCGAAGAGAAAGAGCGAAAATGCCGCGTGACGAGAAAATTGAGCGATTCGCCATCAAAATCACCAACTTCATCAATCCGCACTTGTTTCAATTCAAATTGGAAAATATTGTCGGCCAATTTGATATTGATGTCGAACAGAAATTGCGGCAAAACGCTGAAAAGTGTGCTGCAGCCGGTTATCATCCCGAACAAGGTGCCATTGTAGCGGCATACATTTTGCCATGGGGCAAATGGGTCCGAGCCGAAGGTATATTACTGTTTATAATACTAATGAATTTGTATAAATTCTAATTCACTGACATTTTCAGTTGATTTGATACTCGAGGAAAATCATACGCTTCAATACGTTGTATGGTGCTTGGATCATGGGTAAATTTCATGTGATGCAATTTTGTGACAATTTACACAAATTCCATTCCGTATTCTAGTTGGTTTTTTTGCGGTCTTGTTTTTCATTTTATCCTACGTTTGTTGTATTTTCATTCCAACATTTAGTGTGCCAATGAAATTGGCAAGTCAGCATTTGCGACCAATTCCGAAAGATATTCAGGATTTGCCACCGAACGCATATACAGGCGGCTTGGCGAAGTGTGTACCGATTGAAAAGGTTTGTCATATCTTGTTTGGGCATGATACAATTCTATGTACTAATCAACATATTTTTTGCACACACAAAAAAAAATCCAGAGGTTGAACTATGCCTCACTGCAGAACGAAACATATGGCGTCGATGATTTCCCTGAATATCTGGTGGTCAACGCCAAGCAAGTGATTGACGAAGCGGCCGAAATTTACTTTACGCCACGTCAAACGATTGGTCAACAAATTTTCGGTGACATTTACATCATCAAATACTGTGGCACAAAGGTGGATTTTTTGCACGAGCTGGCGAAAACGGACAGTGTCCGAATTGGTGATCGTGTCATTGCAAACGGTAATTTTGATTGGAAAAATAAAATGTCACAGTTTGCTGTGGTAAAAATGTTCAATTACTATCAGATGAATACTGAGAAACTAAGATTTCTTCGTTCAATTTTTGTTATTTTTTTTCTCCTTTTCGTTGATATTTTCCATCGCATTTGACCAGGTATCGAAGAGATGCGCACGATAAAGAAGCAACGGTACGAGAACCATCTTGGTCATTTGAACATTCGAAATGTGGTGAAGCCGGACATAATATCTAGCAACATGTCAGGCATTTCGGTGTGCACAAAAGATATGGAGGATGATGACAAAATGATTTTGGATTGGTCACGGCAAAATAATAAATTGGCCAAAGAGATGGAACATGAATTGAAGGATCGTTTCGAGAAGGTGTTGCGTACACTTGACGTTTATGAGGTGCCAAGAGCTTACCTATACCGTAGTGAAAGCACCATCAACAGTTCGAGCAGCCTCCACTTCTCGCACATGGATTCAATGTCCACGTTGAAGTCAACGTCAACCACTGACGTGTGTGCCGCCAGATCAGATCCACTGGAAATTGTTGATACTACAATCAATCCACATTTGTCTGCATTGAATCGCCAATTCAAAGCGGCATCAATCAATTCGGCGTCCATCAACAAGCCCAAATCCAAGAAAGAGTCCAAGAAGGCGATCTACATCCCAAGCGGATTCGAAAGTGATTTGGTCAACTTTCAGAAATACAATCAATTCTACTGAGCTGCGCTGGAAAAAGCATAGAAAATTGTCATAATTTACACATTTTCCCATATTTTTTTTCATTTTCATTTCTCTTTATTTAGTCGCAATAGCAATCCAACATTTTTTCATTTAACTTTATATTGTGTAATTGCAAAAGCAATCGAAAATAATAAAATATAATCAAAAAAAAAAACGAAAATAATCAAAAATATATAGCGTTCAATCGCAAATACAAAAAAAAGTTTGTAACATTCAAATTGTCAGAAGAAAAATACAGTTCATGAAATTGTAAAATTCAATTTTGAATCGATCATACTGAATAAACATGTTTGAATAATATTTTGAATTGAGATTCAGTCGGTGTGGACGATGAGGTTGTTGCATTTTATGTTGATGATTGGCACAGTGGATGTGCGACGTGTGAATCCTTTGAGCGCTTGCATACCTCTGTTTGCTTTGACGATCGGCATACCAAACGGTTCCACTTCATTCGAAATCAATCGATTGTCATGCTCGTTGTGCTTCTTCTTGCGATTATCGCGTTCATATCGTTCGAGTGCATATCGGTCGGATGGCTTCTTGAATGATGGTTCCTTGGATTGACCTTTTTCCACTTGTTTGGATCGTTCATTCTTTTCATTCTTCAACATTGGCGATGCCTCCAACATTTCAGTGTAGCTTTTTTCTTTGATCTTCTTGAAAATCACATACTTTGGTGAATCTTGGCCAAATGTATCGTCGACTGGCTTCATATTTCGATCGGAATGCCCGACCTTTGACACATGTTTGTCGTCATCGTAACGTGGATTGCGTTTGTCTACCGGCCGGCGTTCGCAATAATCACCAAAATCTACCGCAAAATCATTATTTTCGTCCCGTTTTTGCTTTTTAACACGACTGTTACCACGTTCATCACTAAATCCAATTGCAAAGTCAAGATCGTCTTCCTTCTTCCGCTTTATAGCACGACTGGTGCCGTGCTCATCACCAAATACCGGCAAAAAGTCCTGCTTTTGCTTTCTTCCGCGATCAGCGCTCCGTTTGGACAATTCAACGTTTTCGTCATCTGGAAAATCAAAGTTGAACTCATCAAAATCAAGGTCATCGAAAATGTTTGTTTGTTTTTCTGGGCGACGCTTGTCGATTGACCGAGCTTTAGACTGGCTGTATGGCTTCTCCTGTGATTTGCGATACGGTTTGTCATGGGTTTGCGATGAACGATACGGTTTCTCGTATGATTTTTCGTTTTTCTGGCTCATTGTCGGTGGTTGGCTGTGTTTAGTCTTTGCCGCGTCATTTTTAACGTTGTCCAAACGATTTTCAAAACCAGAAAGTAGTTCGACAAAATCATCATTATCATTGTTGTTTCGCTGTGCACGGGATGATGATTCACGACGCTGGCTGCCCTTTGCCGTTGGCTGCTTGTTCATATCGGTGAATTTTTGCGATTGGAGTTTGTACGCTTGCGAGTACTGTGCCTGGTGCTTAGGTCCATGTTTTTTCGGTTCGAATACGGTCGGTGAGTGGAAATCAGCTGATTGATGATCGGCAATCCATTGGTTGCACACCGCTTTACGATAGCCACTGGTATCGTATTCTTTTTCCGTTGCCTCATAAATATCTCGGCCCCGTTTTGTTGTCATTGTTGATTATTTTTATCGAGAAAATGACAACAATCACAATCGAAGAAAAAGTCCGGCTTCGCAAAGTTCAAAAACTATCGAAATGTGTGTGTGTTTTTTCTTTCGTTTTGGAATTTAGTTTAATGCGCAAAATACAAATGTTTACGTTACAAAGCAATGCGACAGCAATGCAAACCGAGCGAAAATTATGGCGCGAAGTAATGTCAAAGCATAACACAATCGTGTTGATTCGTGTCCAAGTGAAATGCACAAGATGAGAATGAGAGCATACTTCACAGTTGTCAACAATCGGTGACTCAATTTTCAACATTTCGCACAATCTAAAGCAAACACACTGTCTCACACACAGTGAGAAAATGAGTGACATGCAAAAACTTCACTCTCACTATCGCTCGATGGAAGATTTATACTGCTATCGCTTACAATGTAGTGCGTGATTGTGTGTGCGTGCGTCGTTAATCACATTTATCAATTTCATAGGTTTTCGTTGGGAATTTTTCTATTGACTACAAGAAAGAATCTAAACAACAACAACAACAACAATGTATTAGTTCCGATCACAGCAAATACAAGGCACACAGTCGAAATTGAAACATAAACTAATGCAACAGCGGATACACTCAAATCAGAGCATAGCGAACAAGCGGCATAAGTAATAAGTGTAGCAAACAAGCAATAAATTTATATAAATTTTTTTCTTCCTTTCATTCTTGGTTAAGTGTCACTTATCTCAACAACAGTGTTTTTCTTGTTGTGTTTTATTTATTGGTACACAAAAGTTGTGCGATGTTATCGTGTCTTAAGTCAATTTAAAGAATCAGAAAAAATTATGTTCGATTGTTAGTGCATCGTTTGTGCACAGCGGAGAAGGACGTACTATTTTAATCTTCCGAATCTTTGTAACTGAAACATTGTTTGAGACAGAAGAGAAAAAAAAAACAGAAGAAAATATAGCATAGTCAAAACAAACCAAGTGTGTTCAATTCCTAAGACTGAAAAAATGATGCGCTTAGAACGTGCGATTTGTTTATTTCTTACGCTGCAAATAGCTTGGGGCAATAGCATAACAGAAGGTACGCTGAATTTAAGTTGATATTGAGATTCTTTTTTGCTCATTCATGAATGAAAAAGATGGAACTTCTGGTGTTTTCGGTGATTTTGATCAATTTTTTCCATTTTTTTCGTCAGTTTTTGGAATTTTTTCGGGAAAAAACGTTAAAATTTGTCTCAATTCGTTCAATTCCAGTGATTCTTCTTCTAATAAATTCCAATTCTTGTTTAAATTTCCAGGTTTTGAATCGTTTTTTGCCTACACCAATCCAAGAGCATCGGTAGATGTTCAGGCGGCTGCCGCATTGGGCGTCATCAATCGAACGGTACCATCGCATGTGCATCTGTTTGAGGTAAAAATTGACACCGAGTTACCGTTGAACACATTCCAACTGTTTAAAAGCACGGCTGACGACATCGTACAAATCAAAGCGACGTCGGGTGTGATTGCGTGCAAAGGATTTTATCATTATTTGAAATTCTATTGCAATAGTCATGTTTCTTGGGATGGAAATCGCATTAAAATGCCCAATCAATTACCGGACGTCAATGTGACCGAAACATCACCGAGTCGTTTTATTTACTATCAAAATGTATGCACTTGGTCGTATTCATTCGTGTGGTGGCAATGGAAGGATTGGCAACGGCACATCGATTGGATGGCCATGCAGGGTATTACATTATCATTGGCACCGGTACAAGAATGGGTTTGGACGCGTGTTTACACCGAATTAGGATTAACCAAAGATGAGATTGATGATCATTTTGCGGGACCCGGATTCTTTGCATGGCAACGGATGGGGAATATGCGCGGATTTGCAGGCCCACTATCGAAATCATTTAAACTTTGGTCGTCGACACTGCAAAAGCAATTGATTTCATCATTTCGCAATTTGGGCATGGCATTTGCACTGCCTGCTTTTGCCGGCCATGTACCACAATCATTCCGACGCATTTTTCCAAACGCAACCTACACACCAATGACACAATGGAATCGATTTCCACCGGAATTTTGCTGTCCACTCTTCATTGATCCATTGGATCCGCTGTTTAAAAAAGTTGGCAAACTATTTTTGAGCAAAGTGATTGAGGAATATGGCGAAGGCAATCACATTTATTTCAGTGATCCATTCAATGAAATGGGCCCATCAAACATAACCACTGAATACATTTTTCAAGTGTCACAAACGATTTACGGAACAATGAAAGAGGTTGACTCAAATGCTATTTGGCTACTTCAAGGATGGTTCTTCTTAAATCCACTGTGGAATAGTGATTTAGTTAAAGCATTTTTAACGGCCGTGCCAATTGGTCGAATTCTTGTTCTTGATCTTCATGCTGATATCCATCCACAGTACATTCGAACGCTCTCTTTCCATGGCCAACCGTTCATTTGGTGCATGCTACACAATTTTGGTGGCACACTCGGTATGCACGGCAATTTCGATATTGTTAATCAGGTAATGATGTTTCGTGAATGTTTTGCTCTTTGTTTCTGTCTAATGGTTCGTGAATGTTTTCTTTGGAAATTTTCGATTTTTTTTTTCGTTTGATCTTTGAAAAGATGGAAATTTTATGTAAATCATAGAAATAGGAAGGAAACTTCACATGATAGAAGTTCAGAAAAAAGGAAGAAAACATACAAATCGATTTTCATAGTAAATTTTTTCATTGTTGATTTCTATGCGTTTAGGAGATAATAAAGGCGAAAAAATTCCATGACTCATCAATGGTTGGCGTTGGCATCACACCCGAAGGTATTAATGAACCATTCTTTAAATTTCTATCATGTGAAGTTTCCTTCCTATTTAATTTAATTTTTAATTTCGGATTTCACACCTGAAGGTATCAATCAAAACTATGCGATGTATGAATTTGCTCTAGCTAGAGCCTGGTATCAAAATCCCACCGATGTTCCGAAATGGATAAACGAATACACATTCAGTCGATATGGCATTAAAAATGAGCACATTGAGGCTGCATGGAAGATACTTAAGGTAAATGGGAATTCATGAGTTTTCGTGGGATTGATATTCAATTGAAATTGTTTCTTTGCATTTAATTTCATTCAAATTTCTATGCATTTACCATCAACAGGACACCGTTTATTCATACAATGGGCCATCAAACCATGGGAAATATGTTGTATGTCGACGACCATCGATAAATCTTTCACCTTACGTATGTACCATTCAATTGAATTGAATTCAAAAATGAGAAATCAAATCGATATAAATCGATAATGTACTGAATTTATTGATTTACTATTAAGTCAATTATCCCAAAATGATTTAATTCGGAACCACTTCTGTTGGATTTTTCAGGCTTGGTATAACTTAACGCTGATTGATGATGTTCTGGATGAGCTCTTAAAAACACAAACCGATTTAATAGTTGACAATGAATTGTTCAAACATGATCTCGTCGATGTTACGCGCCAGTTTTTGCAGAACAAAATTGAGTTGCTGTATCCTCAAATTAAAATCGCATTCACTGCAAAAGATCTGGTTCAATTAAAAAAAGTTCAAACCACCTTCGAGTCGATTCTGACAGATTTGGATGAAATTTTGCAATCAAATGAGCATTTTCTGCTCGGAAAGTGGATAAAAAGTGCCAGAGCGATTGCAACAAATCAACTGGAAGAATTTTTGTACGAATATAATGCACGAAATCAGATAACAACATGGGGACCAAATGGACAAATTGTTGATTATGCATATAAACAATGGGCTGGAATTGTACGTGATTACTGCCTGCCACGTTGGCAAGTGCTATTCTTCGAGCTGGCCGATAGTATTGAAAATAAAAATGGAAAATTTAGCGATAGCAAATGTCGACAGAAGATTTTCAAACAAGTCGAAGAACCATTCACCGTCGCCCATGGCGAATATAGGGACGAAGCCGATGGAGACACCATTGCCATTGCCCGAAAAATATTTCAAAAATATAGAGGATCACAATAAGCTATGTTAAAATGACTGTATTCATATGGTTTGTTGTTCTGTTCTCGTTTTACACTTTATCAAAATTGATTCATTTATATTTGGGATACTTGTCTGCACACCAAATAAAACGACCCAAAAAGCAATGTGACATAGAAAGTCTGCATCTTTATTGAATTTATAACAGAGATCGACTGTATGAACGCAGTGCCAAGACCTTTGCACATACACACACATCGTCAGTTGCATGCGAGAGAGGGAGAGAGAGAGAGAGAGAGAGAGAGAGAGAAAGACGTCGCATTGGAAATGCAAATTGGATTCAATTGAAAAATGAGGTTTTCGTTTCGAAAGACACAATCGGTTGCATTCGATGCAAAAGTCATCGCAGAGTCACCACAATGCGTAATGCGTACTTGATCATTGAACCGTCGTCCGCGCCTGCATATTCTGATGAAGCCATGCACTGAAATATACCATGCTATCGTTTGGCATTTGCGTTCTTTATGTGGAATTGATAACTTTTAATTGGACATTTATCTTTGACTTTTATTTGCATCAAACATTTTTTTCAACCGTTGTTATTCGATTGGCTTTGAAGGGATTTCATTTGTTCATTCTTTATTTAATTTATTGTTGTTGTCGAGAGTGGATTTTATTGTCAACGTTTGATTTTTCGCCATTTTTTTCAAAGTTTTTTTCATTTTCATTTTTTTTATTTCTTTTTGTTTTGTTTTCATAAGGTTTCGATTCATTGTCTCTAATTTGGTGATACAATTAACTTCAGCTATTAAATATGTAGTCAGTCAATTGAGTTTCAATTACTTCAGCTAAAAAAAAATCAATATTTAAATATTGAATTCTTCTAAGAAATAACCGATAGATATTTCGGAAAACTGTAATAAGCGTAATTTCGCCGCAATCGATTGAAGAATAACTTGATTCAGGAGAGAAAAAAATACAATTTAAAAATAGATTCAACTCAATCAAATAAACAAACAAATGGAGTGCTCTCCCTAACCAAAGATGAGACCGATTGAAATTGTCAAAACAATTCGTAGTGTTCAAAATTGCGTCAATAATTCTATTATTTACGAGCGCACTGTTTATGTTGATACCTATATCAATTTTTATGACAGTAATAACGAACCAAGAACGAAAAAAAATTGATCCGTTCCATTCGGTTGTATTATGTGAACTGTCAATCACACTTTGTGTCGATGGTAATTCATGGGTGACAAAACAAAAATACATTTTTATTAGTCGCATTTGTTTGATTTATAGTCAATGCAGTGCACCTCATTTTCATTTCGGTTCGTAATAAAATGAAATGTAATAAATTTGAAAAGAAATGTACGCATATTTCACTATGGAAATTCCACGCATTTAAATTATCCAATTTTATCGCAAATTTATTATAGACATGTTCGAATTTAACCTGGTTTATTTTAAATTAAGCCGAGTCAATGCTGAAAAAACGAACGAGCTAAACAATTATGTGAAGATTGATTCCGTATAAGGTGATTACGAGGCTGGTTAATATTTCCGAATGACAAATATACCTTTGCATACACACAATTTATGCAATTTGTTTAAGGCACTGGTTTTCGTGTGTTTCGATCATTCATTCCATAGTAAAATCCATAAATGAAAATATAGCACGCAACCGAAGATGCGGCAATAGGTTCATAAATCACTTGATATATGAAATGTTCTTTTCTCTCTCTTTCTCTCTCTCTCTTTCTCTCTCTCTCTCTCTCTTTTTTTTCTTTCGTTCGTTCGTTGTTTTTCCGTTAACGACATGCATTAATGCTTGCTTCCACTGTTCGATTTATGTGGCGCTATTTATAGCTGAAATGCGAAAAAAACACAAGCTGATGATGAAAATCAATAAATCACCTGATTATATCGGTACTACTAGATTCGATTCGCTTTTGGCTGCCCGGTGAGTGCATAACCAATTTCAGAATTCTAACATTAATATTTGAAAAAAACGTTTTCGTTCACTCTGTGCCAGTAATTGTAATTTCTACATTTATAATTATTGGAATTCATATGTAGAAATCACTTGGACTGACCAAGTCTTTACAAAGACCAAATTTCTTTTGGCATTAGACGATTTTAACAACTAGCTTTTTCTCTGTTGTCTTTAGTTAATTTTAATTGCGATTATTTATTGAATATTAACCATATCAGCCCATCCCATGCACTCAGATAGAAGAAAAAACCTTCAAAATATTTTACCATTTACGTGGAATTTGCATATATTTAAGCACGTTAAAGTTAATCGCTCAGCGTAGAAGTTTGGATTAAAAGACACAACGATTAAGATTTGCTCACATTGATTTAAGCTTCTGTTAATTTTCCTCAAATAAGGCAGTCGAGTCGTTTGTTTGATGGCTTGTTTTGGGTTTTTAAAAGAAAAGAATGGCAAAATAGAAGAAACAAAAACGAATTCAATCAGCTGCTCAGTCATAAATATGATGCTTTGTAGCACAAAAGCACACGACAAGAAAGCAAACACAGCCCAAAGCGATGACGTGATGAAACCGAAAATTGATTGTTTTGAATCAAAATTTATGTGGCAACCGTGTGTGTGTGTGTGTGTATTGTAGACAACGCGAACAGCACAAAATATGTTGTCAGTGTGACGTTGTTTACTAAACTGATCGGATCGACTCGTTTTATTTGATTTTGCTTCGAACTTTTGACACTGTCACACTGTGCTACAAATTCGGTTAAATAATCGCATGAAAATTCATTCTTCGCAATATCGAAGGATACAATTCGCGGGAAGTGTGATTTCGTAAAAGTGTTAAAATCCTTCAAATGATTCCTTTCTAAACGAAGCGAGTCCAAGTAGCTCAAAACCGAAACAAAGTTCACATTTTCTAGTTGATTAAAACTAAGATCCAACAATTCTAATTTTGGTTTATGTTCAAGAATGCCAAAATCAACTTTCGATAAATTCAAGTACTGTAGCTCTTCGAAAGCAGTTGCATTCAATTCACCCAAAAAATTCCTTGATAAATCGAGTTTCGAAAGAAATGACGATTTTTTCAAACAGTTTCATCAATTGTGATGCATTTCCAATTTTGCAATCAATCGCTTAAAATGTGCGCAAATTTTCCAGCGACGATGATAATGAAGTAAAATTGACATTCTCCAAGTTATTGTGGGAAATGTCCAGTGTTTGAAGCTGTTTTAGCGATTCAAATGGCTTTGCGTTGTCCAATGAGAGGCTCGTATTGGCCAAGTACAAATATTGCAAATTGGTCAATTTGACAAAAGTTCCAGTATTCAACTTGCCCACACAATTGCCATTCAATCGTAACGTCAAAACGGACGAACTCACGTATTGAATCAGTTCTGGTGTGCATTATTCCGCCACATTCAAATGAATCAAATTTTTGGCATGCTCCAAAAACCAACAACAACAGTTGCGCTGTGAGCGAATCTATTCTCTCGCTGACTCTCTTCTTTGACATTTCAACCGTTGTTCGAGCAGCGCGTTGATTCCAAGCGCTTTTGATATATATTCTTTTTCTCTCCTAACCTTTCTCACTCTCTCTCGATTACTTGATATTGACAAAGTTCTTCTTCTGTTCGTTTTTTTTTTCTCTGGTTCGCTTCGAAGGCGCTAATATTCGAAAAACAAAACCAATACAATGGCGAGAGCGCTTCATCGTTTTCTAAATGCATGAAAACAGTGAGCGCGCACACGTAGTGCGTGTGTACGTGAATGTGTTCATAGACTGTTGACTCTGTACGACTGAGCGCGCCGCCGTTCTCAGCAGCAGCAGCAACAGCAGTAGCTTTTTTTTTGTATGTTTGTGTATATTCGTAGATACCGGGCGCGTAGCAGCCAAACACACATCTGTGTACGGTTTGACCAACTAGTTGCTCTCTAAAATTTGCGTTAAGCAGTCGAAATTCGAATTAGATCCCGCGCTTCTTGAAAATCGCTGTTTTCGTAAGCCACGCGTTTCGATCACGATTTTTATTTCCGTTCATTTCCTCAATATCCAATGATCAATTGTGTTTGTAAGTTTCGATCGACTACTTTTTTGTTGTTACCAAAACAGAAAAATTATACCTTTCAATTTGTGTGCCAATCTAAATAGAAAAAGTTAGCCGAGATTGGAAAGAAATTTAGAAAACGAAGGAGAATAGAAGAAGGAACAAAAATAAAGATTGAATCGAATTTTGAAATTTTAAGTGTTTTTTTTTCGTTCATTTTTTTTTTCTGGCCGCTTTTCCCTCCTAAATTATTCGAACAGCGTGCCAAATGTTTTATTTATATCCAGACGTTAACAATTTTCTTTCTCATTTCTTCGGTTGAATTCACGAAATATTCATAACGAGCATTCAAATCATAGTCCATTTGTGTATTGTTTATGTTCTTTTTTTTGTTGTTATGTATTTCAAAGACCCCTTGACACATTCCCGCTCTTAGAAACACCGACACCGATTGGCACTTTATTTTTTTTTTGTCGAAATAACACACTTGTGAAAACACGGACGCTTTGAATCGATTTTTTTTTCTTCAAATATTTGTTTACAACATTGCAATTGAATTGAGTGTAATGAAATTTCTTTGAAATGTTTTTCAGTTGGTCTCATAAAAATCCCGGTTTAGAAGAAGAAAATAAAAAACCGATCAAAAAGTGAAGTGCAATAGTTTTGCCGCTAAAATCTTTAAGAATTTAAATAGAAAAGAGAAAGACAGTGCAAAAAAAAAAAACAAAAACAGCATTTATTGCTTTGTTCTCGGCAAGAGTTCTCGCATGAAACCATCGTTTTTGAAACGGCACGAGTGAACTGAATTGTAACAACCGAAAAATAAATAACAAAAGACAAAAATCTGTGCGTTTCCACGGCAGCTCGGGATTGGAGACGAAAAACGATACCGATTTAGTGTTTTCTAAATAAAAACATCATTTGCTTGTGGATTATCATACGAATTTAATTGAATGGAAATCCAAAGGTAGACTTAGTTTTATTTTGTTTTACCCACTCCCCATTCATAGCGTTTATTTGTTCTATAGTAGTCTTTTATCTATTTTATTTGGATCATTCTGATAGTGCACGTCGATCGTCAGAAAAACGTCGAGAACACTCTTGAAATAGAAGGTTGAACAATAGACACATCGAAGCGAAAT